GCAAAAGCATGAACAATATCCGGATTTTCAACACCAATGTCAGTCAAGTGAGTCAGTGCTCCCATGTGATGGTTGAGAGACTTGGCACGTTACGAAAGGCATTTTCAGCAAGTTGCAGATATTCGTCAACAACTGCCTACGCTGGCTCGATACTGAAGCTCAGATGGCCAGAATAATAAGAATAAGCGACAAGGAACTCACTGTGGCTGGCTGGCAACGAACCAACGAAGCAAGAATATATTGCTAAACAAATATGCGGAGGAGAGTGGAGATGGACTAGTTTGGGCATAGACTGAGAAGACCGATTGGGGACATCATGCACCAGGTCAGGCCAGGCCAGTTCCTCGAGTAGAACTCAGATGGGAAACGACGAGTTGGGAGTTGGAGGCTAGGGTGACATGGGGGAGATGTTGTGAGGAGGAAATGAGAGGTTTTAGGCAGTCGTTGAGCCAGGTTCAGAAGATTGCAGAGAAGAGATTGGATTATAGGCCTGCTGCTGAAGTTAGTATTCTCCTTAGACTGGTATCAGTCGCAGAACCACTAAGAACTTGAGATCATTGAACAGTTGTTTCTCCCTAGTATGCGACTCCTCAGCAATTCGCCCATGACTCCACGAGGGGCTAAACTGAAAACCTTTAGGTTTGATGATCCATAGTTCTCTTTTTTTATTAATCTACAATTCTATGTGACAATATATCAAGGTTTTTAATTCACATCCACTGTGAAACAACTATTCACTGCTTCCAGGTTTTCAATAGTTCTCCAATTGATGTGAGACTGTGAAAAAGAAGATGAAGAAGAATACCTTATATGTTTAGATGTGAAGGGTAATACTGTTACATATTGAAGCACATTTATCATTTACAAGTTATTCTATTATAATGCCAAAAACAGAATATTTCTCACTTTTATTTACTTTACACAGAAAGAATGCTAAATTTATAGATTTTCAAACTATTCAGTTTATATAATATATAAATGGTTGGAAATGGTTACTTTCATCTATACAGTTAGATTAGTAACTGTGTATATTGTTGTGTACATGCAGCATGTGGTTTTGTTCGAGGCTGTTCTCTTTCTTCCAACTTGTTAGTGTGATTTGACATATATATATATATATATATATATATATATATATATATAAGTATGTACTTCTCCGTTTGATTTATAGACATTATGGTTACCTTGAGAATATGTTACGACTATACAAATGTGTCTTTCTCACAGAATCTTTAGTGTTATGTAACTCAAGGTGTAAATGATAATAATTATTAGTTTTCTAATTTGTGTTTATAAAGTAACTTGAAAAACGACAGTTTATTACATTGAAACAAACAATGAATTGATTCCAGTCTTAAATAATTGAGAATTTCTAGAGCACTGGATATTGTTAATTATTGTTAGATAGCTGTTAAAAAGAATAGAACAGTCTTATACATTTAACACTCGAAGTATGCAGTATTGAATGTCTTAGGACTACAACACAATTAGGTATTCATCATGAACTGATATCTGTTGAAAGAACTTTGCGAAATCCTAGGAGCATTGGTTAGTTGTTTCATTCTAGTGTGGAACTCTCCAGAAGTGCACACCTATGACCGCACCTGTGATCGAACATAGGCTTTTCAGGTTCAACAGCCAACATATTACCATTAAGCCACCACTTAATGTGATCGTTGTATATTTGTCCTCACCTCTACTAGGTTTGTCCCACTGCTCCTGGGTTCGATTCCTGGCAAGGTCATCGGCGCGAACTGTTAAGGAGTCCTATACTGGGACGATATAGCTATCTAGGGATCTTAAGTTTACATTGTTTCTTCAACTGATGTCAGTTCATGATAAATGCCAACCTGAAATATGATTATAAATCTGTTTTATTTTTCTTTAGGCTTTCAACTGATGTAGTGCATAGATAAACACTTTTCCAAACTATTAACAACCATTTAAAATATCCTGTATGAGTCATTACAGGATAAAGATTTTAATGAACAAATTTCCTTCGACGAATTGATCCTTCGTATCTGTAAAATCGCATTTAAATATGGTTAGTGTATATAAAAGTATCAATATTTGCTACTTAAAAATTGTTAGTAGTTTGTAGCCATGAAAATAATACAGGAACAGTAATTATTTAATGAGATAGGAACTAAAAAGTGTAAGAATTAAAAAGTGAATAAGGACAAGGAATGGGAAAGGTACTTCTAAATACACAATTCCAGTTTCGATCATTTATTTGCCAAAGCTTCAGTAATGCTATCTGAACGTTTTCTAAATGTTGTAATATGGATTCAGATTGTTCAAAGTCAACGCCTTGACCTTCTGACATATCTCATTAAATGTCAACTCAGATCAGTCGCTCCGTATTACAACAAGTAACTAATAGTTACTCTGTTTACTGTGATAAACATGTATTTGTTTTTCTCTTAAACTTACACAGAAGTTGACCCTAATAGTAGGAGAATTTTCCTTAAACTTTGAATATGCAGATGACTTTGTCATGTTAGGCAAAGACGCTGACAAGATGCAGAATCTTGAGGATACTTTAAGTGGCAATTTGAGAATCTTCAGGATGCGTTTCACACCCCTCTACGATGCCATTGCTAACAATAGAGGATGTAGTGCTTGAGTGTATCAACTGTTTCACTTACCTGGAAAGAGAGTTCAGCCTTGGTGGCTCAGTGGCCAATGAAATCTCTGGACGAATACAAAAGTCTCGACTGTCGTTGGCTAACTTATGCCACCTGCGGCGTCGCCGTGATACCTGATTGTCTATAAAGGGTGAGTAACGCAGAAGTCAGATGTAGAGTTTTAGGGAGGAGAGGTAAGTTAGCTGATGAGGTTGTGAACCTTCATCGACTGAGATGGCTAGCTCGGATATATGTTACGTAGGCCAAGTCATCATCTGTCTCGTTACGCAATGTTGTCCAAAGTAGGTTTAGGCTGAAAAAAGGCTTAAGGTGGCCAGACTAAAACATGGCATCAATGTATAAAGTGTTCGACTGTTGGTTTGAGCCATGTAGGGCGATGCAGACTAGCTGGTTGGTGGTATGCGGGACTAGAGAAACCAGTGGTTGGAGACTCCAAGAGAGATGCCATGGCTGAGAACTGATGTCAGTGGTGTAGATGTATGTACATATCATCTTCATCTTAACGCTATACCATCCTTACTTTTATCTCTTTTATTACTTTATATTTCTTTTGGCTGAATTTTCTTTTCTTCATCCTTCACTTCACTGCATTTTTACATGATATGGTGATATGAACTGTGGGAACTCAGAGTGTTACGGACTAATCCCTGGTCTTGTGTTGATTTGGATGAATGAAAAACCTTTAATTCATATTTTTATCAACAAAATTTGGGAAGGTGGCTTAATAATCACTTTGATAATTTCCTTATTTGAAATACACTTTATATGATTGGTTAAAATAAATTCTTAGAAATGCATCTCTTTTATTCACTTATTTATTCCAAGAACTAAGATATATGTACTGATGAACTTTGAAGTTCAAAGATTTCTCCTGTTAGTAAGCATCTATTTTTATTACCAGTGGACTCGTAAAACGGTATCTTAACTATTGAACTGATTAGTATAATTTGTTCACTTTGCAACAGCTCATTGTTGAATAGATCGTAAATACTAACTTCACTTAATGTTATTTAAAACGGTACCGAAGTGATAATATTTGTCTGAACATCCAGAAGATTAACTGACTGTACCGTATGTTAGTAATGACATGTAGCTGACCAATTAGTCGCTTATCTGAGGTGATCACAGATGTCAACTTATCATTTTATTAAAAAGAAACCAGTGAACAGTATTTGAAAAAAGGGATTGAATTTCTCCTGTTTCCTTGTGACTCTAAGCATTAATGAGCATTACATAATGATAAGTATTGAGTTATTCTTGAAAACATTTAAAAAAGAAAACAGATGTTATGCAAGACGAATTTAAAACGTGAGTAGAATAAGTTGACACCATCAATGGGAGGAATCTAAAGGAAGTTGTCTCTTTCACCTACCAACTAGGCAGCATTCTCTCAACTATAGGTGGCATACGCACAGATGAGGATGTCAGAGCCAGCCACGATCGGAAAAGCAAGACAACCCTTCATTAATCTGAAGTCATGTGTGGAGATCTACTGCAATCAGCACATAGTGTGAACAACATCCACATTTTTAACACCAATGTCAGTCAAGTGAGTCAATGCTTCTATGTGGTGGTTGAGAGACTTGGCACATTACGCGAAGTATTTTCAACAAACTCTAGACATACATCATCAACGGCTGCCGTCTACACTCGATACTGAATATCAGATGGCTCGAATTATAAGAATGCGAAACAAGAGACTCTGTCTATTTCCTTGTGCCTCATGAAGCTTCTGGTCAACCTTTTTCGAAGAAGTCACATTATTTTGAAGTAACATATGTTAATATATGATGTATTGAGACGTAACACAATAGACTTGATAAAGTTCGAGGTTTTCAGAACGCTGTTTCCCTTTCGATCATAGATCATATATTCATCATTGAATATTGAAGCTTGTTCAACACAGAACCATTCAATGTATTAAACTAAGCCACAAATCTTTACTAGTATTTCTCGAAGAACTTAATTATTCACAGGAGTTAATTGATATTTATCTGTGAACACAATAACCACAGACTTTAGATCGATCCTTAATGGCTACTCAATTCCTGGGGTATATCAAAGACTATAAGGCAAAAAAAGTTTAGTTCACCATCAGGCTATGTACTAAACACATTGGTTCATATAATATTTACAATGGCGTTAGGTATATTCAGGCTCTTCAATTGATTTCATCTCTTTAACAAATTCGATATGTGCACATATAATGATGCATCTTTTCTTGAAACGTCGAAGAGATTGTTTTTAGCCGTTTTGAAGGATCCATGCAACAATAAAGGATGTATTAATGGCAATATTAATTCTCATCAGGTTATTCTAAAATAATTATAACTCATTTTTTTTCCTTTTCAGAGACATTACTGGTGAAAAATAAACAATCCCTTCGACAAATCCAAGATCTCCAACAAGTCTGTGAAGAAGGTGAATATCGTATTGGTCAGTTGGAGAGTCTACTTCAAGAGCAAGCTAATCGTAAGGACTATCGTCGAAACATATCAAATATGATATCTGATAAAAATAAACCTGGACAACCACAGCTTCCATCACATTCACGACCGAATTCAAAAGTCACATATTCAAGTCGTCAAAGTCATCAAAATATATCGGATTCTGAACGTTAATTTGCTCACTGTTGTAATATATATATATATTATTGTGGTGATAAATGCTTTTCAAAACAACTATATTACTAACTGTGTACATTTTACTAATATGATACATGTACTACTTAAGTAGTATAAACAGACTTTATTAGGTACTATTTTTAATTGAAACCGAGTTTACAAAAGTTGTAATGGAAGTGAAATTATACTGAACTCAGGCTATATACTGTGTTTGCATTGCGCTAGCTTTATTTATTTATTTATATCTTGTTTTATAAAATAAAATTAGAAAAAAAGTGTCAACTTTTCATAATTTGTTGTTTGTTACTTTTTAAACAATGACTCTATAGTAAAATTTTGCAGTGATTTTAGGCATTAATGAGCAATATCCCCTGAACTACTGGCGGCACAGGCACGGATGAGGATATCAGAGCCAGCTACGATCGGAAAAGCAAGACAATCCTTCATTAATCTGAAGTCATGTGTGGAGATCTACTGCAATCAGCATAAAGCATGAACAACATCCGCATTTTTAACACCAATGTCAGTCAAGTGAGTCAATGCTTCTATGTGATGGATGAGAGACTTGGCACATTACGCGAAGTATTTTCAACAAACTCTAGACATACATCATCAACGGCTGCCATCTACACTCGATAGTGAATATCAGATGGCTCGAATTATAAGAATAAGCAACAAGAAACTGTCTGACAACCAACCAACAACATATCGCTCAACAAATATGCAGAAGATAGTGGAGATGGATTGGATTGAATTGAACACACACTGGGAAGATTATTTGAGGACATCAGGTGATGGGTTAGGTCTTCGAGTAGAACCAAAATTAAAAACGATGAGTTGGGCATCCAGATGAGGGTGACATGAAGGAGATTGTGTGAGGAAGAAATGAAAGCTTATAGGTAATCGTGGAGCCAGGTTACGAAGACTGTAGAGAAGAGAGTGAAATGGCGACGTGCTACTTAAGCGATATGTTTCACTAGGAACCCAAGGGACAAATAATAATAATAATAATAATAATAATAATAATAATAATAATAGTGGTGTAAAATGAAATTATTATTCTCGTGATGCACAATTTAAGAACTATTTAGACCTCATGGTAGAGTCTAATTCTATTTGACAGAATCTGGGCAATATTATTATCTGTAAGGGCATTCGAAAACAGTCGTTATACGACTCTGTGCCTAACTGTGAAACTAACAGTAATGCTGGTGATACAAGTTGGTTGGAGGTCATTAGTAGACATTCCTTCTCCACAGGCTCTCCATGTTTGTTGGTAGTCGTCTATCACCAAAAAGGAACTGAGTTTACTTAAGAGGTCGGTTGTTCTTCAGTGACCAACAAATCAGTGTAATTTAGTAACACTAGAGGTTAACTGCCACCTGAATAATTTGGTAACACAACTTCTGACAGTAACCTTTATTGATATGATTTTAAGTCGCTCTAAGGAGATGTATTTCATCGCCAAAAAAATTATTCTTCACAGCTATTACTTTCCGATTAAATCTGAATGTATACCTTCGTAATAATATCGAGAACATCTGTGTGTATATATAATAAAACTTATTACAATCTTAAAGTTACGCAACTGCAAATCTAGCTAAAGTATTACAAATCATAATTTGTTTCTTTACTTTCAAATGAATCATTTCGTTTCCAGAAGTTATTGCTTTCCGGTAGTGAGAAGCAATTTTTTCCGTTATCTAATCCTCATTCGTCAAGATTACTTATTATGTTTGTCATATGGTTATTGCGCATTAGTGTAACGAAAAAAATCTAGTTTCATCACTACCAAGGCACGAGTTATTAGTAGTCATTTGAGTTCCTAATGAAACATAAGGCTTCAGTAGTACGTCTTCATTCCACTCTCTCTTCCTTGTCACTCTCGACACCAAAGCCCAACTCGTCGTTTCCCATCTGAGTTCCACTCCAGTACCTCGCCTGATGCGTGATGTCCCTGAATGGTCTTCTCAGTGCATGCCCAATCTAGTCCATCTTCACTTCCTTCTGCACATTTGTTGAGCGATAGGTTGTTGGTTAGTTCGTTGACAACCCAGAGTTCCTTGTTGCTTATTCTTTTTGCCCATCTCAACTTCGGTAACGAGCATGGGTAGCTGTTGATGAACGTCTGTAGTTTGTTGCAAATCCTTTTCGTAACGTGCCAAGTCTCTCAACCACCACATAAAAGCACTGACTTGACTGAATTAGTGTTGAAAATGTGGATGTTGTTCACGCTTTACGCTGAGTGGAGTGCAGATCTCCACACCGGTTGTAGGCTAATGAACACTAGTCTTGTTTTTCCGGTCCTGGCTTTGGCGTCCTCATCTGTGCCGCTGCCGCCTGCTTTGGAAACGGTGCTGCCTAGATAGGTGAAAGAGGCTGCTTTTTTCAACTTGTCTCCGTTGATGGTGATTGCAGCTTGTTGTTGTTTGTGGTGGCGTTGGTTGGATGTCATCATCACCTTCTTCTCTACGTTCACTTGAAGTCCCATCTTCGCTGACCTGCCTCTTCTGTCAACTTGTTAGTCTTTGCCTGTAGAACTTCGAGCTTATGCGACATTCGACACAACTCATTGTTGGCGAAATCCAAATCTTCGAGGATTTTTTCGTTGGTCCTGCGTATGCCCCTCTTCTCGCTCCTCACTTTTTACTGCATGATCCAGTCCTGTCGACAACAATCAGGAGTATCATGGATGATAGTAGATGGCAGCCTTGTCTTACTCCTGTACTCACTTCGAATACATCAGTGTGCTTCCCATTTTGAATTACTTGGTATGTGGCGTCTTCATATAGTTGTTGAATGAGGCTTATATAGGTTTGCGGTACTCCGTAGTATTAAAGCAGTTGCCAAGTTACTTTTCGGCCAACTCCGTCGAAGGCTTTTCAAAGTCGATGAAGTTGTGGGTGAACATCTAGTTGACTCCCATTCTATGCTCTGTCCTTTGATGATGTATAACGATGCAATTCGGTCTGCACATGATTTTTACTTCTTGAATCCAGCCTGTTCCGGTATCAAGGCATTAGATTACTTTATGTGAATATCATTGTTATGTTTCAAGTAAAAATAGATGGTGAATCAATCTGTTCTGGTAACTTGTTACTTCTACTGAAGCCCAACATTTTTAGATATATTCTTATTCAAAAAGTTATACTACTTTACCGTTTGACCTACTTTTCTTTCTTTATTCATTTTCCATTTTATTCCCTTGATACTTGATGCAGCGATATGAGATGTGGAAACGTGGACCATTAGATTTACAGTAATGCCTGGTTCTATGTTGATCTTGGTGATGATGATGATGACAGTCAACTATCAGGTTACCAGTTGAATATACACGTTACCTACATTTTTCAAACTGTCTGTGTGGTGTCGTTAGTTGTGACTTTATGTGTTTGTCATTCCAATGTATTCTTTTCTCAATTAGTAGACTGTAGTATTCATTTTGAGTAATAAACACTGTCAGATACTTACGTATACAATCGAGTTCAGTAATAATAACATTTCAATATCAAGAACAAGATACTTAACGAACAGACACTTTTCAACAAATTCTTTTCCAAGGTCTACATTCGTATATATTCGATGTGTCTTGTGAGGAAAACGAAACACTATACGATGGGTATAAGAGCAAAACTTGTGAACTGTAGTCAATCGTAATTCCATTTTAGTCTGTTTATTTGATGCGTCACACACAGTCGAGGGATAGTATCATTTACTTGTAAATGATTATGATAACAAGTGAAGGCTGAGTGATAATTAAGCAAGTTACATAATATATGGAATGGTTAATAGAAGGTACATAGTTGAGAAAAAGATGAAAAGACTGATGAAAGTAGTAATTCAACTGATTATTATGTAATAGGTTTAGACAAATTTATCAAGATGAAATCAATGTTTTCTAAAAATTTGGAACAATTAGTCCCTTTTATGAATTTCAGTAGCTTGATTAGAAGACAAAGTTTATCTGAACAACGCGCGATGTATTTGCGCATTACATTTTGAACAATCTGATCATACATTTACTTGTCAAGTCAATATATATTGAACCGAAGAGTGGGAGGACAAATACAAAAATTAACATAATAGGGGATTATTATTAAGAAAGGTTAGAGGAAACAGGAAGCGACATAGTTGATCGTAATCTTGACAAGAAAACAAAGTTTACCACGATAGGTGTAGTGTAAGAGCAAATTGTTTTTGTACACATAAAGGTGGTTTATATTTATTTATGGCTATGGTCTCCGCAAATTTCAGTATACATTCCTGAATTTTTCTATATAAGACTTTGAAAGCTGTTCGTTTCTATGATATGTTTAGCACTATATCGTGAGCTAAAAGAAGTTGGAAATATGGACCATTGGGTTCTGACCCACTGGCTCAATGGTAACGTGCTGATCACGGAACCTGAAGGTCGGGATTTCGACCTCTGATGGGGTTGTGGGTGTACAATTCTGAGGAGTCCCATATCGTGACGAAACAACTGCCCAGTGCTCCTAGGTTTCCTTTGTTCCTCCAACCGATGTCAGTCTACGATGAATAGCAATGTGAAATATGTTTAGCCATAGATAAAGAGGGTCATCTCCCTCCTAGCGTTTATCACTGCGTCAAACCCCATTTGTTTTTGAAGTTATTTAGGCACATGTTCTTCCAGCCTCAGTTGCATGGCTCGGTTACTCCTTCTTATGTATGTGTGACCACATACACATGCAAATTGGTAAGCACGATGGGATGTGACGTAACAACTGATGTAGTGCTTAGGTTTCTGGTGAAGCATGTGTTTTGTTTTTTTCCACGAAGATAAGATTAGCTGCGTAATATATTTTGCTTAATGTCAGTTTTACGGGTGCCTGAAAATCAGTTGGCACACACATGTGGATATCGAGGTAACACTTTTATCTTGCGTGGTAAAGAGGTCAACTACTAACGATTATGAGAATGGGAATTAAGAAATAGTGATATTGACGGAGACCAAAATACCACCTCGATCAGTTAACTGACCACTAACTACCTTATGCCTCAACATCAAACTGGTGAAATTTCTTACAGGTGAAAGTGTTCTGAATGACTTGAGAATACTTACGATCAGCAACAACATTCGCCACCAAGTTTGCTTATGGGTTACATCGGAGCGACAGAAAACACTTTGCATAAGCTTTGCGCTACTGTAATGGATTAAAGTAGTCTATTTTTCATCATAAAAATAATGCCATAGCGGATTGCTTCCTTACCAAGTAATGTCCATGACATGCCCATAGACCCAACAGATATGTGTTACTATTATGTGATTGACGC